TTTTTCATGGGTTCCATTTTCCTAAAAACCTGTCGGATAGCAAGGTTTCCAGATTGTTAAGGGTCGGATTATCAAGTCACGACTGCATCTTCAACCTCACGCTGGAATGTGGTCAAAATCCCTTAATACTGTCTATATGTAGTGTCACTGTTCTGCCACTAGACTATGTGCGTACGCATGGTCAGAGTTGTGCTTAGATTCATGCACATTTCTAAGTATAAGTGCAAGTTGATAAATTCCATACTTAGTGTGGGAATGTTCGTACGCACTCATTATGCATATATCTGTGATGATGGTAAATAAGACTGGGACCTGGTTTACATGAGAAGGGATTCGAAATTGAAACTGACCTGAACGTGAGGATTTTAAAGAGAAGGTGAGCGAGTGTGGCTGTATCGCTTATTTCACATATTCAAGCTGTGTGAGTTATTTAATTTGAGTCATGTAGCTTCCGAACTAAAGTACTCTCAAAAACAATACTGTCATAGCTTCAGCTGCAGAAAAGGAGAACAAACAGTACGATGAAATTCTGATCGTCTCCCAAAAATCTGTGCTTCTCCTTAACGCTAACTCGTGGGTGTTTTTCCATACACCTGCAGCCATCCGCCTCAGAAACAGCTAGAAAGACGTTGACTCACTCCGCGCTCCACGTGTGTGCTGCCAACACGCCCATCCTTGTTTACTATCAGGCACACACGGCCTGCATGTTCCTGGAAGAGGAAATGCTCCGGAGAGATGGATATATGGACGTATCCACTCCTCCATGGGGTCAGCAGAGCAGACCTCCACCCTGACACAGTGCAGCTGGGATTCCCGAGCCTCGCTGCGCAGCATCATGGGAGGATTGTGATGCAACACTGAGGAAAAAGAGAGGGATTGTTCCTCAGGATGAGTATGTGTGCATGTGTTTGTGGCTGGCCCACGCCATGCGCCTGTCAGCTCCAGTGTCAGTTTCTTTTTCCGGAAGATTTCCTATTTTGAACATTTAAAGAGCATTTAAATAAATCCGCACACATCTGTAGGTGCACACACTTCTATTCTTGTTTGAATGTGTGTGTTGCTTTCCCCCAGAGTGCACCCTCTGATGCTTCTTTGTGTATGTATGGGCTCTATTGTTACCATGTGTGTCCTCAGCCTCCACAGTTTCAGTCTATTTTCAGGAAATTACCTCAGAAACAGAAGCGCTGCTGATGTGATATCTGGTTCCCTTTTTTTTCTTCTTCTGCTCTGAAGAATCGAGGGTCACGTTTAAACATCTGGAGGGCTTGTTAAGGCCTGAGTCACTGAAGTCTGGGTCAAGCCTACATATCGAATGTACACATGAGTCTTACAACATACCGCCTGCGGATCTTGTGAAATGTATTTCTAACAACTGTTCAAGATGACTCACTGCCCTTGTCTTTACTGATGAATTAGGGGTGAATCACACACACTCCCTCATCTGCTGACTTCTGTCCTCTGATTCAGGGGTCTGCCTTCTCCTGCAGATGGCTACAATCAAGTTCTTGTGCATTTACGGTCAATAAAGCGTCACAGCTATACGGCCTGATAAGTGACTCATGTTCTGCCAGTAGTGGTGTGAACCAGCATTCTTTACGTGTTACCACAACTGAATCAATCATCGCTGAAAGGTAAACAAGGTGTACAGTAAAAGGTATAATAATGATTGAGGAGGTGGTGACTATAAAACACAGTAAACACAGCTTAGAGCGCCTTTCTTCAGGGGGAATGAGGTTGTGTAAGAGGGTTAAAGCCATAATTGCAGTGCTGGGTGAAAAGCGAACCTGTTACCCAGGACTGTCTCATCCTCGCTCACATTACTGAGTGAAACCGTCTGCGAGCTTTTCATACCTGTTGGGTAATTTAGAGACGCGGTTTCAAATCTTGCAGATGATTGATGGAGGCTGGACGAAGGACTGGTGGCGGTGCGTTCACGGTGAGAGATGCAAATCGCTGAAGTAAAATGTTTTTCACAAAAAGCACAAGCACTGGTATTTAACCTTTTTTCAACCAGGTCGGTCCGGTGGAGATACTTATTCAAGGGAAGCCTGGCCAAGACAGCAGCCTGAGAGACATTAAACTTACAGCAAATAAAAACAAATAACAACATGAGTAAAATACATGCTAGATATTAGCAACAAGGTTAAGAATTTACATTGAAACAACAACAACAAGTGTGATATGTAGTTGCTACAAAATCTCTGAAATGGTTTTTTAAAGATCGGAGGCTGATGAATTCCTTTAGATTCACCGTGTAATGAACCTTTGGCACATTTAATAAGCACAAATCATTGGAACATAGACAGAAATTGCTGTGAGCTTTAGAAATTAAATCACATACATAGTGGGGGAGTAGACCTAGGATGGCTTTAGAAATAAAAGTATACCAGTGCGTTGCCAAAGAGGGCCGCTCAACTCCAGCATGTAAAGTGCAGCGGTGAGTTAGGGCTCCACAACCCGTGACAAACCTTAAAGCACCATGATACACAGAATCGTAGAGGCATTCACGTATAAAAGGTCGCCGAAGTCAAGCACAGGTAGGAAGGTGGCAGTAACCAACTTTTCCTGACAAATTTGACTCACATGTGAGTGTACTCCATGTTACAGGCTGGAGTTCCTTTTTCAAGATGCAGCACATAATAACAAACATGTATTCCTTTATTTTAGTGATCACCTCTTCTTGTATTTTACATGATGTTACATTCCTCCAACAGAATTACCTACCTACTAGGGCCGCTGTGGCTCAGGTGGTAGAGCGTTTGTCTACCATGCGGTTCGATTCCCCGTCCCTCCACAGTCAAAGTGTCCTTGGGCAAGACCCTGAACCCGAAATTGTTCCTATTGCACCTTGCATGGCAGCTCTGTCACCATTGGTGTGAATGTGTGAATGAGAAACACATTGTCAAGGGCTTTGGATAAAAGTGCAGACCATTGTGACCTTTACAGCTGTAAACAAGCCAGTTTGCCTCCTTCGACAGCTTTAAATAGTCTCAATATTAACATTTAATATGATGAATTGGCATTAAAACATCCCCTGACTTTTTCTGTCCCTTTGTGTGTGCCTACAATTGAAGATCATCATCAGTTCATATATCACTTATTTTTAGCTCGTTTTTAACTTACTTTGCTTTTTGTTTGGTCCATAACATGTTAGACAATTGTTAAAAAAGTATCTCTCCAACAAGAATCCATATGACTGTCCAACCAAAACCTAACGATAATACTAAAAAACCTAGAAAATCAGCAAACATTCACATTAGAAGGGACATATACACATATTTTTGATTAAAACAATTAAAAAGTAATCAGACTTGATGCTGTTTTAATCAACTATTTAGTTAACTAATATTTGCAGTTCAAGAGTTAACTTTTTTTTTTTTTTAAATTTGGGAAACAAAAACTACTTTTATAATTATGAAGGATTGTTTTCTTTGGTTAATCCAAAGTTTTGGATGCGACCATAAGACGCCAACATACTAGAATCTAAATTTAAATCAGTGTTTCATCCATTTTTTGTTGTTGCAGAGTTAAACAAGACTTAGGATCCAACAAGTCGTCTTAAGCCTAATGTTTGGTAAAGCTTAGATAGACTGAAAAATGTCTGACATTTATTTATTTGGCTTACCTGTTTTATAATTGCTTGTTTTTTTGTTTTTTTTAAATCTGGAAAATTGGAAAGCACTGATCAGCTACTGAGTATATGCCAAAACCGATCAATAATAAATGAGCCTGGCAGATCTGTTGCCTGTTTTGTTGTTGTTGTAAATATTGTACACAAATTCAAATTCAGCACACTGTGAGTTTTAAGTACCTTTGTGTGGTCACTGTTCCTTTCTTTGTCGCTACCCTTCTGTCTGACACCCTGCTGTGTCGCAGTTATTGATTCAGCCTTTAGCTTATTGATCAACTCAGAGGGGGGTCGATGGCACAGCTGTGTCTTTCTGGACCACCATGTAACTCTCCTAAATACCTATTAAGCTTTATTGTCCAAAATAAACACAAGATGGCTGAGGCTAATTTGTAATTTGTGGATTATTGGGATTTTTGTGCAGCCATCTGGTTCACGTATAGAGTTAATTCATGTGTGGAGTCGCTTAAAAAAAAAAAGCTTTAGGTGTGTGAACGACTGTGTGTATCTTGTTCCTACTTGTTTGCCCTTATTGTGTATATGTTGTAATTGCCAACAGATACAAAAAAATAAAATCTCTTGACGGAAAAATGCCCACTTACAATCAGAATAAATAAATCTCTGATAGATATCAATTTCACTGTTTTAGTAAATCAAACTCCTGGACAGAATTTATTGAGGTTGGAAAGGAGGAGATGTTACAAAACTGAGACTGACAGTGTAAACAGATAACTGATATGTGAATCATGCCAAAAGAAAACAGTATTTCGCACAAACTCTCGCCAGAACGTCACCTCTAGAGGCTGGCTTGTCAGTTTCTAGAAGCTGGGAGGGTTTCCACATGCTATCCCATAATTCCCTGGCTGATCGAGGTGAAGTTATGCAACCTGTTACCACTAGATGGTAGGCAGGAGGTCAGCAGTCCTCACCACTGTGTCCAACCTCAAGTAGATTTGACCCTGCATGGGAAAAGAAACAGATAGTGGTGGAAAAGGAAAAGAAAAAAAAAAAAGAAAAGCAGTGAAAGTGACAGTGGAAAGTTAGAGCCGAGCGAATATAGATGTGTCTGAGTGCATTTCACTCTGCAGGTTCCAGTCCGATAAGAAGAGGAAAAGCATGAAGAGATAGCCGACCTGTGGGAGTCACATTGAGAGAAGCGAGCGAGAGGAAGGCAGTGAAGCAGGGGACAGAGAGTGAAGGGGGGTCGGGGGAGTGGTTAGCCTGCTGGCTGCCTCTATATAGAGAAGACAGAGTCTGACAGAGCAGATCCTGTGAGAGAGTGAGGAGCAGAAGGAAAAAGGGACAGACTGACCTTTTACCCAAACTCCCTCTACCTGTGAATGACGTCCTGCGCTACAAAGCTTGACAGTTTTCTATTGGATTACAAACCCAGGATTTCTCTCTCAAACCAAGGTAACAACCATTTTCTTCCCTCTTTAGCAGTAGCCTCTTTTTTTTTTATTTTTTTTATAGCAGATTCCAGGCAGGTGCAGCCTGAGCGTCACAGCCTGACTTACACTATTCTCAAGTTACTTTTCTGAATTACAGTAAACTTTCAAGGTCTCCTTTGTGTCTGTTGATCATCACTTTTTTTTCTTTCTGCTGTTCTCTGTCTCGGCTCAACTTTAATGCAGATCACATGTTAGGTTTTTTTGCTGCTATTTACCTTGTGGGTGTGGGATTGTAGCGCACAATATTCTAGATGTAGATTCAAGAATATGAGTGGGAGATTTTTTTTATTTTTCTCAAAAAGGTTGTTGGGTCCAGTGAGTGTGTGCCTGCTCCTCTTGTGTAATTCACAATGAGACTGATAATACACCCAGACCAGTAATCCCTTCACTCACCTGTTGTGCTCATTCGACACCTGTGTGCTATTATAAATGCTCTGCACTGCCTTGACCCGATGGCTGTTTTACAAATAGATCCAAACAGAGAAAAGTCAAGGACTGTGTGACACAGAGGCAAATGGAGCTGAAAGGGCTTTTATACAGATATCCTGAGCCAAGAATGAATTATCTGGTGGGTGGTGCAGCAGTATCTCAAACTTCAGCTGCGAGAAGGAAAGTGAAAGAGAGATATGTGTGAGCAAGGAAGTTAAAGTTTCTTTGTTGTCAAGGTTTTGAAATATCTGGAATACTGCTTTCACTGTAATTGGGGAAATATTTTAATTTCTAGTCTCCAAGGCACTAAAAAATTAAATCAATATGCTGTTAAAGGCTTTGATATGGGCACTTTTTTCACCATTGAGGGCTGTTTGCTAAAAAAGTTTGCTGCCAGAATAAAAATAAATACTGGAAACTAAATATCTGAGTAGTTACATTTTGCTCAGTTTATTAAGATCATGCAACATAATGTGGCGGTTGTGGTCCTGAAGCTGTGAAAACCAAAAAGTCCAGATGTGACACTGACTGAGCAGATCTGAGCTGTGTGTGTGTGATGTGTGTGTGTCTGATACTGAGTGGGTGCTGAGGGTTCATCTGCCCTGTGGCCTGCAGTGTGGGATCAGTAGCTTGGTTACAGCTGTCAGGAGCACCAATGGGCCATATGGCAGCTTCTGTGACACTCAAGACTAAAAGGAGCTGCAGCACCAGCGTACTATGTTGTGAAAGCTCTATTGCTCAGCATCATCGGCTCGCTGCTATTGACCCTTTTTGTTCTTATCTTAGAATTATTGACTTTCACAGTGTGTTTTGGCTCCGAATATGCACTTTAATAATCAATACTGTCTGAGCCGAACACAATCAGACGTTTTACAATATGTTAAAGTCAACATCAGAACTGTGGTGTAAATGTCTTCACAAGAGCAAAGTGGCTCCGTTTATGATAAAGATGAAGGTGCCCTCAGCGGGCCTCATTATGATCATCGCTGCTGGTGTTTTGTCACTGGCAGCTTGACCCGAAGGTCTCGGCAGCTCATTGAGCAGACTGGTGGGTGTTTTATTGCGCTGCTGCTGCTCACAGTCTGCCACAACAAAGCACTTGTGTTAAGGAGGAGACCTGCCCATCCCAGTGCTGCCATATGCTTGTGTGCGTCCCTGTGTGTGTGCGTTCCAACTAAAGGCGCAGTCATGCAGAAAACAACGCAGCAAAGATGGGTTCCGGAGCTTTGCTTTATGTGCAGAGTGACCATTGTGTCCGGAGATCTGATTGGATAATTAATGATGCTATTTATGTAAGCGGCAGGCCGACCCCTCCTCTTCTGTCAGGAGTCAATGACCTGAGACCGACACCACAAACAAACAGTGCATATGGTTGATTATCTGACCTTTGCTAAGGTCAAACATAAACATAAATATACATAACTGAAATAAAAATACCAGCATAGACAGTAGAGAGAAGTAGTTTAGGCTAGCTAGAGGTCTGAACCTGAGGCCTCACATTTATAATGACCCTATCATACCCCATTCAGCCCCCTGTCAGTTAAAATTCAGTTTCCATATGGCGTTTTTTATATGCTAGAAGACATATCATGAGCTAAATAAGTGCTCATGGCTTAGAATTTCACCTCGAAACTGCAACGGCTGTCTCAAAAACACAGATTCAGACTCAGAACCAATCCTGTCAACTTGCAGGGAGGAACTTCCTGCATAAATATTCATCTTCAGATTAAATATTTCCAGATTGAACGTGTACCACATTCTGTGCGTCTAGTAGCTGATTAGTTTTCCAGCGTTTGAGCAGGTGAGCTGGTGTGCTTGAGCTGCAGTAAGTGGCAAATTCATAGATCTGTGCATACGCCTACTCGATGTTAAGGCAGGACATTTTCATGGAAACTAATCTTAAATCAAAGACGGGAGTTAGGCTTTAAAGCAGTGTGTGTTTCTGTCATTGCGTGGTTGTTTTCCATCACCATCTCGCTGAGTGTATTTTCATATTTAGCTGCTGTTTGTGTTGGCTGCTCGAAAGGAAAATTGGAAAAATAAGTAGAAGATCTCCAAGGATCACATGGGCTTCTATTTGGACCATTTGCTGCCGGCTCTGTTTAAACTTATCTTCCGAGTGTGCGTGTGTTTTACCGAGTGTGTCTCTCAGTGTGTATGTGCAGCACGCAGCAGGAGGCGGATGGTGTGTTGGCAGCAGTCATACCCCAATTACGCCGCTCACCCTGTAACCTCTTCCCCTCTCGTCCTGTGAACCATTTAAAGTGTGTCTTCTTGAGGGAAGCAGGCCAAAAGCATGACTCATATAATATTATCTTTGTCTTGACCTCTGATATTGTATTTTCTGCCCCCTGCTTTCACAGACTCACCATGAGGCTCGTCCTGTTGACTGTGCTGGTGCTGGTCCTGGTGGTGGCAGAAGGCACTGCGGACAGAATCCTGTCCAGGAGGACCAAGAGGGAGCTCGCCAGCCCGCTCCACGTTGGAGGAATCAGGGACCCTTTTGGTTCGTACTGCCAGAGGAGAGGAGGCTGCTGCCCCGGCAGAGACGACCTGTGCACGGTGCCGTACCTGGACACAATCTGCTACTGCGACCTGTTCTGCAACCGCACCGTGTCCGACTGCTGCCCTGACTTCTGGGGCCACTGTCTCGGCGTGGAGCCACCTTTCATTGGTATGTAAGGGTGCAAATGTGTGTGCATCGTTTGCAGGAGTTTGCATGTGTGTGTGTGGGCCTGTCGTAGTTAGTTAAGCTCAGTCAGGAATCCTGCTGACAAGCTCCGTGCTGGACCACAATGCAAAGCAGCGTGACACCTGAACACGAATTACAATTACATGCCTCTCTCTTTTAAAGCTTCAGATATAATCCAGGTCTGTTACATAGTTCATATCAGTTTTTTTCGCATTTCGAAAGCTGAGATTGATAAATATTTCTTCATCTTTTATTATACTTGTGTCCTTTTGGATACAGACTGTGTAGAAATAATTTAGGATCCAATGAAATTCTTTTAATTTAACTCATCCCTCAGTGTCCTAAAATCATATCTCAGTGAAATAGTGAAAGTACAACCACTCTCAGACCAGCTGTGTTGCTGTTTGTACTAATTTAATGCAGAAAAAGGAGTACAATCTAGTGAGGCACTCAGTGGTTGGGAAAAAAAATCACTTATTAAGCAGCTCCACATGGATTGTGTTTCTCTAAATTTACACATACTGGCTTCTTGTTTCATGAGATATAAAAGAAGAAAAGTAAAGCAGTGATACAGCGTCCCATTTATGACCAATGGTGCATATGCATACCATCTTTTTTTAGATCTCTTTTGTGGGATAACTCTCAGAAGGGAAGACAAAAAAGTAGTAATATATGGTAAAATATGAATAAAGGACACTCTGGAGCTCTGAGTGTCAGTGTAAATGTAATTCTCCTATCCCCTGCCCCTTTAATAATGTCCATGCATTCATTAAATACACAAGATTTAACACAATTTCCCCCCATTCTATGCAACAGTTCAGTTGACTATATTTGGATTCCCCGTGCAGTTATAGCACCATTCTCTCAGTGCAGAGGTGTAAAATGTGCCAGCGAGAGCAAAGGCCTACAGTACCTGAGAACAGTGCAGGGAACAGTAGGCTTCTTATTAACCCAGACGGAGAGAGGAGGGGCGGGCGGAGGGATGAATGGAGGTTAGGAGAAAGAATGTGGGCTATGTGGAGGGTGGGAGAGGCAGACAATGGGTACAGGACGGGGGGCAGAGGGGTCGCTGCAGGTATGTGGTCCCTGGTGGACAAGGTGGGGGACTCGAGAGGTGTGAACCACAAGCGCACTCATCTGACCACACATTCAGCCTGGAGGGGAGCTGTGTCACTGCTCCTGTCACGACACACATTGTTATTGTCTTATCTGGGAAGTCTCACCAATAATCATTTCAGCAGATTACATACATTCCTCCCGTAGTAATGTGTAACTTGTCACACGCTGGAGCTCTGCACTAACAGGGGAGAGTCACAATACGCAGGGTGAGACAGCTGCGAGAGGGGAAGATAGTTTTTAAGGCTCTCGGTCATAAATCACGCTATCAGCTCAGGGCCTCGCACCAGAGGGCCAAGAAACATGCTCACACTGTAAATTCTCAGCCAGCTCATGCCTGAAATTCCACATGAAATTCACACTGACGGCACCTTCCACTGTAAATCAGGATGTAGATAAACCTCACTCTAAGTCTGTCACCATGTCAGTATACTTTTCACCATGTGTAAGCAGGCAGGGCTTAAACTTCAAGTGTGCTGGATCAAATTAATTCTAAAGGGAGTGCTGTGTCACTGCTGGATCATTTTTTGCACTTTGTCACGATGCTGAGCACCTCACCGGTGCAGCTCGCAAGCTATTATTGATTATTTATGTGATGGGGGTGAGGTGGGGCTTTCCCCGCATTTCACTCGAGGTGGCGAAGTGGAGTGTAAGCTGGTTAAAGCATGACGAGAGCCCAGGAAGCCTGGGAAGGCAGGAAAGAAGCTAACGCCACATTCCTACACTGGATTACTGGAGCTCAGGGCTCCTTAGACCTCACATATTCACTGTGTGTATATTCTGCATGTGCACACACACACACTAGTTGTTAACATTTTTTTTTTTATTGTGGTTGCAAGTGCAGGAATATGGCCAGTGTGTTTGTGTTACATTAAGTGTGAGTTTGGTGGCTCTGGATTGGAGGCTGTGCGTAGCTTTCTTTGAGATTAGTGGTGGGATCTTTGCTGTTTAGCCACATCAAACCCATGTATATTAAATTGCACCTCTTTGTCTCTTCTCAGGCATCTGTGAAAGAAATGGAAACAGGTTCTTTACAGGGCAAACATACAAAGAGAACTGCAATTTATGGTATGTAAACCCCTGTCTTCGTCTATTTCTCTTTCAACCTCTTAAATCCTGGGCTTCCCCCTTAAAACGCCCCTTAAGTAGCTTAAAGTTCGGAGCTTTTTTCCTTCACCTTCCGATTGTTTGGTCTGCATGCGCTCTATATCTACCTGTGCAAACACTTCACAAGATAAGAAATATATTTTTCTGCTCATGGAGAAAAAGATGCATTTTTAGGGTTATGCCACAACAATAACAAAACTGTGCATGTCTTGAGCATCACATTTCTCTGAATTCCTCGCTGATGTGCACAACTTGGTATTCTTAAAACCTGTGGGATTTGCACAGTTTAGCGTTAAGTTGTGTGGGTTGCAAAATGTGTGTTTACAGCATGTGTTTCTAATAATAAAATCACTGGCAGCTTTATGGAGTAATATTCACTCGTCTATCCACGTATTGAGTGAAAATCTTTCGCTGATCACATGATCCTTAGACACACACACGACGTTCATACGCTTACAACCAGTCACTCTTTCTACCTGTGCAACCCTTTATCCGTAATTTGTTGCCTGAACTCCTTTCGTTTCACGGCTCTGCTGGCTCAGTCACAGTTGTTGCATAATGACATAGAAAGGAGACAATAAAATAATAAATCACTTAAACTTTATGACACACTTGGGCTTCAGATGAATGACAATTATATAGAATAAATAACACACAAAACACAGGAAAAACACATGCTTCAAAAGGAATGTGACAACCAGTGTCTCCACAGCTGGGATGGGAGTGTGTAGTGTTTAGCGTTCTGCTTGTTAAGCCCCATATGATTCTGTTTTCTGAGCCAATAAGTCAGCAATTTAAACATGAGGTGATGACTTCTGGAGCCTCAAACATTCATTAACACTGAACCATCTGCCACAGTTCTTCTTATATTCCCATGACGTTGAAATAATCTACTTGAAGCCTCTGAAAGCTTTCAGCGTTGACGTGGAAAACAAACAAAAAAAATAGTCTGACAATGTTTTTAGCACTTTAAAAATGTCCGCTGACCCACATGACCTCCACTGAAACCTGGAGGACAGTGATCTAATGGAGTCTCTTGGCATTTTTGAGGTTTGATAAAGAAAAATATTGACGTTGATAGAGAGCATCATGGAGAAGATTCTTTTTAACCATGTTGGTGACATAGCTCAGTCAGTCAGTTGGTTTGTTGGTCCTCCACTTTGGTCCAGACTGAAATATCTCAACATCTGCTGGATGACTTTTTATGGCAGTTTGCACAGACCTTCACGTCCCCCTCAGGATTCCTTTTAATAACTGTGGTGATCCTCCAACTGTCAGTCAGGTCATTAATTTAATTTATGACCATATACCTGTAAAATCTGTGGCATCCCCATCAGCCTCAGTCTTGTTCAACACTAAGGGCACATGTTGACATGCTCACACACTTAAACCAAGATACTGAATTTATCTGCTAAATACTTAGGTGGATCTAACTACTGAGCAGTGCTCAGGTTTTCCCCGCTTGCTCGATCATCAGGCTCTGGCTGGATTTCACTCAAACACACTTTTGGAATTCTTTCAGTTTGTTTATTTCCATGTGCTCAAATTGAGGTGAAAAACCTTTAACAAAACAAACCATATTCAATGCACATAATCAAACTGCAGCAATTAAACTAAAGTATACATGTACAAGCTACAATACTAAACAAATTACATAATCAATACGTGTATATCTTAGCGGTGCATCTGTGAGGGGAAGAAATACTGAGATTTCAAAAAGTAGTGGAAGTTTTCTCCCAGAGCAGAGTGTCGAGCTGATTTCTGCTGGAGTGTCTGCATGTAAAGGCCCAGATGTAGCTGGTCTGTTAACTAGCTGATCACTCTAACCTGCTGCACTGGCTGAAGTCTCTGGCAGGAAGGGGAGAACATGCAGTTTGCTGCATCAATGACTGCAGACCAGTAATGCTCCCTAGTTAACAGTGAAAAAACAAGACTCACACTGGTAATTATTTTTTTGTTTTTCTAAATACTAAATGTTCTATAATTTTCCTCAGCTGATAGTTACTTCAAAAATACAAAGAAGGAAGAGTTATGGCCATTTTGCAGATCATGTTGAGTCTCCTTGCTGGAGTCTGCTGCAGACAAAATATTTTATCGTCTATTCTGAAGCGTTTTCTGTTTCGATCAAACACAGCTTAGCGTAGCAGCAGAAATAGTAAAATGAGAATAAATCAAAACAAGCTCCATGCTAAATTCTCCCTGATCTCGTTTCAGAGTTTTGTGCGCCAACAGTTGTCTCCCATGTCTCCTCCTGAGTGATATCGTAAATTTAATCACAGTTGAAGCAGTTTTTCTGTTGAGCTTCTGAGCCGCCCCAGTTCCACTTTGATGCAGATAAAGATCCACTCTCCTTCAACGCACTAAAACGAGCCTGGATCTTTTAATATCAAGCTGCTGTCTTCTTGTTTTGACTCCTTAAGTAAATCCTCTTGCATTACATTTTCAGCTGAGCTCAGATTTCCAAACAGTTCTTCACTTTCTGACCCTTGACGAAAGTGACGAGTTTCTAAAGAAAACAATATTTTTGCTTTAGTTCAAGGTGTCTTTTATCTCAACGGCCTTCTACTGAGGACGTCAGTGCAGCTATTGTCATTTTTCTGAATGATACGGAGGCCAGTCAAGGAGACATTTGTCCAGAGACGGGAGGGAGGAGAGGTTAAGTGAGCCAAGGCAGGAAGAGCAGCGACCGAATTCCTCACCTGTCCTCCACTGTGGTTTCTCACATCTGTGCCATTTGATGTTCCTCAAAGTCTCTCTGTTTGTGTGCGTATAGTACATGTGAGGACACGTTCGCTTGCAGACAAATGTTGATTTAACATCCACTTGTGTGTCTGTATCTTATTTTAATACACCAAGAATAGACTGCGGCAGTTTGTCACGACGTGTCTGACACAAACCTCGCTGACCCCTCTGATCTGCACATCACCGGCTGTGCTCCGTCAGTCTAAAAGGCCCGAAGTCTTATCAAGGCCGCTCAATTAGGGATGACCTGCAGGGTCTTATGGGAGCACAGACAGCCAAAGATGGAAGTTGTTAACTGGCAGGACTAACCTTTCTCCTTGAGGAAACACTTGTGGAGGTTGAGCAAACACACTAGCTGCATGGTGAAAATAGCCTCTCGCGTTCCAGGTCACCAGAAAACAGTGTTTACATGCTCACCCCCCCCTTCCTCCTTCTTTCACCGTCAAACAAAAGAGTCTTATGCACATACGCTCTCACACGTGCTTGTTAAGGCAACACACATGGGCGCTCGAAAAATTGCGCCACAACTTTGGCACAGAGGGACACACACACACACTTACACTCCCTTTTCCTACTCCCACTCTCTGCACTTATTAATTTCCCAAGTGTGCGTCCTCCCGGCTCTTTGAGAAGCAGGAGTGCAGGGTGGAGAGCAGGGCTTCCGCTTTCCCCCCTCCAAATTCTCTCATTAGCGGCTCTTATCTGGGCGCCTTGTGAGATTTAACCAAATATAGCAATTACTCTTAATAAACCTATGTGCTTTGACATCAGTGTTAGAATCAGTAATCGCTGGTTTGAGCCTCAGTGGACACTAGACACAGCCCAATCTGACCGAGGCGCTGAAGCAGTGCTGATGTTTACTGTTGTGAAGATATGCCGCGATACTTGTCGCAGCCTTTTGTTGTGTTAATGGGATTTCCAGCCGCGGCCTTCTCCTCCCTGATCTGCTGGCATACCGATAACTCTTTGTCTGCCCCAAGTGATCTTAAACGTGGCGCCTCGACAGCCCCAAGGAGCAGCTATCTCTGCTTTGATTTGGCAGCAGCTCTTCTCTTTCGTCTGATTGGACAGCAGCCAGTAGTGCCTGCTTGGACTTTCTAAGCTGTTGTGTTGTTTTTCTCAGATGCGTCTTATCACAGCACAAACATGGCTCTGCTCCCACAAGATCGGTGCTCAGATATAGCCACACCTCACGTCACCCAGTTCTGTGTATACGGTCTCTCAGGTGGAGGAGGTGTCTGTCTTTAATAGAGAATGTGACGGGAATTGAAAAATACGGTCCTCACAGCCCTCATATTTTGCTTTTCGGACGCGTTCTGTCTCCATAAATCTGCTGCTATGCCGATCCCTGTAAGGACACAACTATTAATATGTAAAGACTCCCTTTTTAAACTTACTGCTACTGTGCTGCGCGCCTGCTGAAGGGAGGAACATGCAAAAGGTCACTGTCACCTTCCTCAAATCAAAAACCCTCCGATGGGTCCTGTAAGATGCTGAGCAGCCACTCACAGGTATCGGTTTTGTTTTTGTGAGTTTGTAGGTGCAGTTTGAGAAATGATACTGTCTGTAGGTTCCTGTGTGACTAAAGGGCGATTCATCATTGAGTGTGTTTAATGATTGTCTGGGGCAGGTCCCCTCTCTGTAAATATGACGTGTGGTGTGCATTCAGCTCTATAGCTAGATGTCCTTACATGCCTGTGTGGGAAACACCCCTCCCACTAATGCACAGCCTTTATAACATTCCCCAAACGGCAGCTGGCCGTAACACACAGAACTTTATAGTCAATTTATAGTCTGAGTAACTTAATTTAACTGGGAAGTTTTCAGGAGATCAAGAGAGACATGAGAACAAAAACATTCACTGTCAGACAGCCAAGAAACGTGAGCAGGTTTATGGAGATTTTCTAGTAATAGGGAATAATAGAAAGTTAAAGCCAGACAGAAATCAGGTTCAGGGAAAGTAGTAAAAAATTAATCAGCAAAATTAAAAGATTTTAATAACACAGTTTCTGTTTAAGCACACAATAAACAAGCTGATGTGTGTGTCAGTGTGTGCAGTCTACAATTCCTATCAAGTGCAATTTTCAAATGCCCTTGTCTTGCTTTACTGAAGCATTTCCATTTTACTGTTTCCATTTAATGTTTTCCCAGGATCTATCTAACAACGTTGGTCACTTACAAATTATAATACATTATTACTGATTATAGAATATCCTATAGACGATACTGATGCACTACGGTGGCACTGAAAGGAGCACTGTGCATAAAGAGTATAAAGAATATTTGCTGATTTAATTTATTTTAAAAAGTAAGAACTTTTACTTTTATGTGTTCACTTTCCATTCTATATTGCTGCATGGTGACCAATTAAGCATAGTATTTTTTTTTTGCTAAGGTAGAAAAGCGCTATATAAGTGCAGACCGTGTACCATTACTTTTTCCACACACACACCCTTCACACTCCCTCACAGTGAGTCATCGCAAAGTAAATTCTCTATTTTTGAGCATCCCCAAAGCAAACATCTGTGCGTCATCATTAATGTCCTGCTCTCTTATCTTTCTATCTTCTGTCTAAAAATGGATCCATGTCTGCGTCCTTAAAAGGCTGAATGTTCCCTTTAACCGTTCTTTGTTTTTTTTCCTCACTCCCTCGTTCGTTCTTTTTCACGTCTGTACCAGTTCGCAATGTTCTTCTCTCAACTCGTTTCTTATTTGGGAATTCCACCAAGCCTCCGCATGCTGATCTATGTCTGATGTGTTCTTTCTATTTAAGCTGTTGACGTCGCATAAATATGGAAATTGAAGCTATTTTCGAGCAATTCCAGCTGCTGATGCCTTCTAATGGCCCTCGCTCTCTGTTTCATGTCTCTTGCAGCACATGTGGGACTTCAGGACGCTGGGAGTGCGAGCAGAACGCCTGTCTGATGGAGCCTGACATTATCCATGCTGTCAACAGAGGAAACTATGGGTAAAAATCTAACACACACACACACACACACACACATTTGTGATGTCATTTGAAGGTCTACAAGAAGATATTCATGCTTACAAACACGACTTTGTTCTCTCTTTTTCTCCTGATTCTCTCTGTTTTCAGCTGGCAGGCAGCTAACTACAGTCAGCTCTACGGCATGACTTTGGATGAAGGCATCCGCTACCGTCTGGGCACACAGAGACCCTCGAGAACTATTATGAACATGAACGAGATCCAGGTACGCAAATCTTTTTTTAGGAGAAGAAAGACCAGCTCACTAAAAATATCAGTCACAAAAGAAATATGTGGGTGGTCGAGTTCCTCGATGGTTTTATTCTTTGCTGAGGTGCCCTTGAGCAGGTCCCGAAACAATTGCCATCCCCAGTGCTACTGTTCAGCCGACCTCTGACTTTTAACCCTCTTGAGGAAAATTATCCACACAGGAACTACAAGAATATCACATTACTTGTTGCTGCTGGGTGTAGCCTCTTCAGCTCCGGGTTTCCCCTTAAAATATAACTTAAATTAGAAAAAGCAAACAGAAAACACAACATATAGTAACATATAAGGTGTACAGTTGCAAAAACAGATAACTCAATTTTTGTAGATTTTCAGAAAACTTATTTTTCTGTTGTCTGCTTGAGAAAATATCAATCAAACTGAAGTTGAGTAGATCTGACTCAGTAGAAATGACACGACAAAAATAGAGATAACTTAAGTTTGATTGATGTTGTCTCAGGTACATGATGGAAAAGTGGGTTTTCTGAAGGTTTATGAAGATGGAGTTATCTGTTTTTGTAAATGAACAAAAAAATCATGTTTCAAAATCAACAATAGCTGAACCGCTACAGCAAGAGTAAAGATATAAATGAGGTTTTCCAAATTTATGTTAATTCATAGGATGTCTTGAGAAATTTTTGTATGTTTTCCAGTTTTAGAGTAAAGGTTAGTGTTATTCTAATTTATGTAAAAGTGTATTTGCAATGTTTGACCCATCAGTTGGTCAGTTAAGCTGATTTGATAGCAGAATATTTTTACATTTTTACTTTCACGTCTTTTTGTATTTATATATGAAGAGTTCATTTGCAAAAACAGATATCTCCATTTTTGTAGATTTTCAGAAAACATTTTTTTTTTTTTGTTTACTTGAGATAATATCAATCAAACTGAAGTTGAGTGGATTTGACTCACTGATATTGTCTCAGGTAGACGATGGAAAAGTGGGTTTTCTGAAGGTTTGTGAAGATGGATCCGTTGTTGCAAATGAACACTTCATATATTGAAAACAACATATTTTTGGTAAGGTCCATTCTAAGACAATATATTACAAAGAAAAAATCATTTTCAAAATGGAATGTGTAAAGTTTGATCAACCATTTATCAATATATTGAGTTTATCAGTTAAAAACCATCAGTTTCCATCACAGAGTGTGTTACACATGTAGGTGAGGTGTGTGTGTGTGTGTCTTAAGGGGAACGTGGGGGGTTTCATGGATGAGGGAAGCAGGAAGTTTTCCCGACAGGTGAGAATGTAGAGGAGGAAAAAAAAAAAAGTGACTTGTTACAGTTGTGTTGTAACTTTTCATTTCAAGACAAGCTCCCACATATTCCCCCTGTATTTATGGCTTATTAAATGCATGTTTAAAAACCTTTTACAACAACTGAGCGCCGATCACAAAACATCGTTTCACTTAATTACGGTGGCCGGCTGCTGCGTGGTGGCGTCTCCGTCTGGAACCTGGGCAGACTCCGGTACGCTGGAGCTTTGTTTACATTTCATCCAGACAGATTACATAAGACGGAACCAAAACATCAGAGGGAGAAGATGGAGGGGATGGTGGTGGCCCGGAGAATAATGAGCAACCTCCTCCTCAGTCTGCACCTCCCCACCTCCATCCGTCCATCCATCCACCTCCCACCCTAAAAACCTCCCCCTTCTCCTCCTCCTCCTTCCGCTATCAGCTTGTCTCTACCTGTGTTATGAACCAGCTCACAGCCCATTCATAAATCTCCTCTCTCTTGAATCCTCTGTACAAGGTGGGAAAACTGTGAATTTATGAATGAACTTATCCCACATGACGCCATGTTCCTGCTGCAGTTTGACTCTTTCATTCCACCTTGAGGTCAGGTGCTTCACATGTCTGAGCTGTTGGACTTTGACCGTTCGCAGCTACAAATCTCTGCATTCCTTAGTTATGCATCAGGTGCTCTGAATACCTCCCCATTAATCAGAGGAATGCAGTGCAGCCTTTGTGTGAGAAAAAGAGAGAGAGAGTCGGTTGTACAGAAGTGTGAGCTCTGTTATCACACATCACTGGGAGATTATGAGAGCATCCAACCTCGAGAGGAGATTAATAGACGGAGCGTGTTTGGCATCTGAGAATCACCTGCGAGTGCGCAATGAGGAAAATATTTGCTCTTTATCGCAGACTCGTCATCACCATAATTAGGATTTATCACCATGGCGATATTGATGTTTAAAATAGAGATGAATGCCTCCCTGAATGCTGTGAGCTCACACTGATGTAACCAACGGAGAGATCTGGGATCAAAGGTTGTTGTCTGCTTCGACAGCATCAGACATTTGACTCCGGGCCAAAAGGTCCTTAATCGCCCGTGAAGACGTCCCTTCTAATGCAGGGTTGATTAGCAGACTTATGTAATCAAGCCTGTGACCAAAACATATCATACAAAGCTGTGCACAAGTATTTTAATTGCAGCCTTTGGTTTGTGCTCTGTCGTGGACAAACAGTTACATCACATTGAGGCGAGCTGCACTGCTCGGCGGTTCTAACTACTGTTTTCACAGTTTCCCTAGAAATCCCCTTTTACTGGTTGGAGTTCCAGCTGTTTTCACTGGCAAATATATATGTTTCGATAATGATGGGTGCTGTACTGTGAGAGCATACAAGTTGTTGAGCTTTATACAAATAAGTGAAGTGAATTAACTGTCTTTTTCTGTCCTTTTGTCAGATGAACATGGATCCTCAGAGCGACCGCCTGCCGCTTTACTTCAATTCAGCAGAGAAATGGCCGGGAAAGATTCACGAGCCGCTGGATCAGGGCAACTGTGCTGCATCCTGGGCCTTTTCAACTGCAGGTGGGTCGCAGAGGGAATTCACTATGTGGGGAAAATGCAGGGAAATGTCCTGTAAATAATAAAAGTAATAGTAAACTTTCTTTTTACAGCTCCTTTCAAAACTGCTGTTACAAGGTGCTTTAAAAGCATTACAATATCCAAAATAAGACAATAAAACATCAGTAAAGATAGTGAAACATAGAAAAGGGCAATAATAAAACATTAGAAAAGACAATTGTGACGTTACTATGACGTTAGACATTATACAATATAGACGCTTGTTGGGAGATAAAACAATAAAAGCATCGTCGCCCTTTTGTTTTAAGCCTGAAACAAGCGTTTAACAGCAGCGGATTCTCTAACCTGAGGGGTTATGTGTGGAATAAGAGGGTCTGAGATGTATAGCGAAGTGAAATCATGCAGAGATTTCAAAGTAATGAGGAGAATATTAAATCTAACAAATGAAGAGTCTGTGTAATTCAGCCGGGACTGCAGGATTAGTGAGCGTTCTTGCTGCCGATTATTAAATCGACAGCTGGGAAAACACATCATAATGACACATACAGAGGTGGAAAAACCTTGTTGTCTTGTTCTTAAGTCTTCTTTTGTTCAACCTCAAAGGTTCATCTTCAGGCTTATTTTATGATTTAGAGGGGATTTTACATGTTTCGCTGTTTCGGTGAAGTCTTCTGATGAGTCATTGATTTCGGTCATCCCGTTGTTGAGTTTGCAGAAGAGCTTTGGAAACAAAAATGGATTTAATCAGTTAAAGAACAGCTTCTGATGAAAATCAAGTTTATTTTTTAACCTTGTTAAAGTGCCCTTGTGGTGTTTTTGTTATGACTGAACATTTCTGCCTTGAGACTGCAGTGTACAGATTTAGACTGACAGTTTTCATATGTAACTAACAAGCCAACTTGTGAACTTGCAGGCTTTCTGTGTTCTTTACAGAATCGGTTTATAGTTAGATGGCTGCATTACTCCAGTGTTATAACTTGCAATTGTATAGTGTAGCGAAAGGCAGAATCGAAGGGGAGCTGGTGTGCTCTAGTGGCAGCAACAGAAAGCAGTTATGTAGAGTTGCTTCTAAGGCATTTTAAGGCAGAAAGTGGTCCAAAAAAAGCTAAATATATTATTTCGCTACACAGAGATGAGTTTTTAGGGGTTCAGTCGACAACCTGATAGGGACTTTGAAGGATAAAAATAAACTCATTTTTAAGGTTTCATATCTCAAGGTTTCTATCAGTGGTGCCATTTCATCTATTGTCAATATTAATATTGTTTATCTTGTTCATCAGCTGTGGCGTCAGACAGAATCTCCATCCAGTCAATGGGTCACATGACCCCTCAGCTGTCCCCCCAAAACCTCATCTCCTGTGACACCCGCAACCAGGGAGGCTGCGCCGGAGGACGCGTGGACGGAGCCTGGTGGTATCTCCGGCGTAGAGGGTAAGCAAACACCAAACGAGCATTACTGTATGAAAATAAGCTGCAGTGATCACTTGTGTAGTGATTTGCATCTTCCCCGTCCCCCTGACAGAGTGGTGACCGAGGACTGCTACCCGTACCGACCCCCACAGCAAACACCAGCCGAGGTGGGTCGCTGCATGATGCAGAGCCGCTCCATCGGCCGGGGGAAGAGGCAGGCGACGCAGCACTGCCCCAACGCACACAACTACCACAACGACATCTACCAGTCCACGCCGCCCTACAGGCTCTCAACCAACGTAAGCCGTGCAGAGAAACACACGCAAAGCCAGATACCTGAAGATGCAAACATCTGCTCGCAGCCGTGAAAACACACCTCTCCTACATCCGCTTCACATTAGAGCAGCGCAACGTGTAATTTAACTGGCAGCAAACACTCAGCCAACATAATCTCCCTGTACGTTTATGCTGCAGTAGACATACACTGTCTCACGGGTTTTGTGTGTTTGTGCACTCTTTCTTCATGCATACTTGACTCGCCTGTGAAAGAACTCGTACAGGATTAAGTCCTGAGCAGCACTCTTCACAGGGATCTATTTTTACCTGTGTGTCAGGAGATTCACGATTCACAAGTTTGCTCTCAGTGTAGCACAGGATGATTAAGTAATCTCTCATGAACAGTTTGTCTTGACGTATGCTGGATAAATAATGCGAAGAGTGAATTATACTAATTTACAGGCTGCACTTTGGATGTCATCATCTGTAATCATTATCTGCTATTATTTCAAGTCCCAAAAGGGCAGCTGGAATTAGATTTGTTAATCAGATGACTCTACATGTCATCTATTCTAACTTTCGTAATCCAGCATCAAGCAGCCGATATGAGGGTTTATCATGTTGTGAAAGAAGAGCAGCTATTTCTGATAAATGAGAAGCACATAATAAAAAGACTTCAGTGTCCCTATTTGATAACCTTCTGAACCCCAAGCAGCTTATTGACATTTTTATTTTTTTGCTCCTGTCACATTTTTATTCAATTTAAAGTCCTGTACCTCTATGGAAACGATACGGCCAGGGCAAGGAATACAGAGAGCGCAAGAAGTGCCTTGTGGCTATAAAGTTATACCATAAATAATAATTTTAAAAATGCAAAATGTCTTTGATTATTAATTTTGCAAAAGATGAAGAAATCGGTAATGGAAATGTACGACATTTTTCCAAGTGTATAGTGATGTTATCATGACATCACTGTTGTGCCCTGGAGAGATTTTTTATTTTTGCAGGATCTAGTTAAAGTAAATGTTTTATTTTTGGCATTTTTTTTAAAACAATAACACATGTAGAAGAAAATTAATTTGATCAAATATCACGATTTTAAGCTTAGATTTGGAAAATTTTCCTGACCAAACTTCACATCCATTCAAAAACCATCAGAAAGATGAATATCTGATGGTTTTCTTGTATGAAAGGGAGGTTTAGGGGTTCAGAGGGTGAAAGGCACAAATTAATTTTTTAAAAAAAATTTTATTGAGTGTGTAAAGTTTAATTTATTGATGATTTGGTTGGCTTTTTTGAAAGACAAGATGCTTTTTAAAACCAATCATGTCGGTTTAAAAGGTGGCTTTTGGGGTTCAGAGGGTCGAAAACATGTTCAAAGCATGTGTAAAGCTTATTGCAAAGTTAAAACGATGGGTTTTGGATGATTTATAAACTGCCTCCTTGTTATGTACCTCATGGAGACAGCACCTCCTTCATACCAGAAAGGATGGTGTAACTAGCGCTGCTTCCCGAAGCCGTCTCTGCGTGCAGCTATACGCATCTTGTCCAGTGCAAAGTTAGCCACTGAGCTGCATCCATCAGCGCTAAATGACGGCCGATGCCTCTCAAACTCATTACAGCCTGTTGTTTCTGTCTCTTGATAGCCTGTGAAGTCAATAAGCCAGGCATTAAGAGCAGGAGGCCCTGCTGAACTCAATCTTGTTATCTGACTTCTAACATCCAGGGGGATTGTTTTCATCCTCTCCATTTCACTGACATGTAATGATCTTTGTCTGTCTGTCTCTCCTTTGCCTATAAATCGTTGCCTCTATCTTCTCTCTCAGGAAAAGGAGATTATGAAGGAGATTATGGATAATGGCCCCGTGCAAGGTAAGGTGATGCCTTTTTGTGTGTGTGTGTGTGTTTCCCCTTAAACGCTCTTGTAAATAATATTTCAGCGTCTGCTCCCAAGTGAGTGCAACTTTTATTTTTGAAAAACGCTGCGCTCCCGAGGGACGCACAAATTCAAACACAAGCACCTTGAAGCTGCGTGTTGGGTGTCTGACCCCGGGTGAAGTCATGTTCGACCTTGTCATCCTGACGGTTCTGTCCCGGGCTTCAACTCTGACCTCGGTCACCTGGTCAGAAGTGATGGGCCTTTATGTCAGCGGGGTTGAACTGACTTTCCTTTAGTCGACCGCCTCGCTGTCTGGTGCCCATCTGGACCATTGTCAAGTCCGCTTGAATAGAGGAGTCACGTGTAGGTGTGTGTGTGTGTGTGTTTTCTGTGAGGCTGTGCCAGCTTCTTGTTGTATTGTTCAGCAGCCCAGGCAGGAAGACTTCGAATCAAGCTTCCTTTTTTTTTTTTCTCTCTCTCGCTCTCTCTCTCTCTCTCTTTGACACAAAAGCGTAGAGGTGTGTGGGTCTGTGTGTGTGTGTGTGTACCTGTGAACTGTGTGTCATTGCGAGTTGCTGATAAGAGTGAAGGTCCACGCAGTGTTCTCAGCCGGGGAACAGCGGATTTGGTGGAGGTAGATCTTCAAACGAGAGTCATTCTCGGCACTTCCTGAGAAAGTTCTTGGAATATTAAAGTCACACACAGTTCAGGAGTACAGTCTGCACACAAACACACACACAGACCTATTGTGATGTGTGTGTGACTCAGAGCGAAAGTTGGAATTTATTTAGCGTAATTGCTTAATTGTTTTTAGATGAATCAAAGTTTGAATATGATTTTTATCCCCCCCTTCCATAATAGATTTATTAAAGGATAACCAAATCATATGTGTGTGTTTGTGTGTGTGTGTGAAGCTTATATCCGCTTCCTAATTCTCCCTGCTTGTTTGTTCTCACAGCTATTATGGAGGTCCATGAGGACTTCTTTGTCTATAAGAGTGGGATCTACAAACACACTGACGTCAGCTTCACCAAACCGCCACAATACCGCAAACATGGCACTCACTCAGTCAGGATCACTGGGTAAGTGAAGCAACAAAACATTACATTTCAAGCCTTTTTTGCAGCAGTTTTGGCTCTAAGTAGAGGGTTTTTTTTTACCAACTTGATCAACTAAGTTTTGAGGTTTTGGATTTTCCGCCTTTGTGTGTATTGATTGCTCAGTTGGAGTTAATGACAGGAAGACTGACAGGTGTCTGGACATTCGTCTTCTTTGGGTTTCTCTGCTGCTACATGCTGAGCAGCTGCCGTATCCGCAGCATGTCAGTGTTTATTGAGGATGAATCAGGTTTTAATTGAGTATTCGATTCAAAGCTTCACGTGTGTTTGCACATGTGAATCAGATTCCCTCCCAGACTATTGCTTTCGGAGGCACACCTTGGCTCTGCTCCTCCATCAGACAACCCCCTTCCCCCATCTAGTAACTTTGGCGACCACAAATATGCAGGCGTGCAGACGTCTGACACACCTGGATTGGCTGCCCCCACCCTCCGTCTCTCGTTGTTCCCCGTCTTTCTTTCTTTGCTCCGGCGCTACGGTGTCTCCATCATCACTCTTCATCTGGCCGGCTGCCCTGCTTCCTCCTTTTTTTTTTTTTTCCTCCCTCCTCTCCACATCCAAGTCAAAATACGCCTGTTATCATCCAGACTATCCCGGTTCAGACATGGAGCTGTTTGATGCTGGTGTTTTGTGTTGCCTGGAACACAGTAAGAGGCCAGGAGAGGTTTTTGTCCTATAAAATGTCATAAATTACTTGTTGGTTACCAGCTGGTTTTGGCGCGTGTTTGCAGTGACAATGATATGTTGCTGCTCGCAAGTCTCACTTTACAAATTAGATAAATGAGCAGCTAGCTGCCAGTGGGTCTATTATGGAGACTGAGGAATGTGTGTTTGTGAACATTCGACTGTCCTTCAGCAGACTGACCTTTTCTAAAAAATAAAAAAACTCCAGACACTTTAATTGAAGCAGTCACTCCACTTTTATCTGATTGGCCACCGATGAAGACAAAACAACCGATTCACTAGCTGCTTTTTCTGTCTCCTAGTGTGTGTCTGCTTTATTTTATTTTATGGCTTGACTCCATGTATAGACATGATAAACACTCCAGCCCTCACCCCCCAACCTGTACTTACCTCATCTAAATCACACACTTCGTAAAAATGCACCGTTCTGAAACGTCTTCTAAAAAACTGTGTTCGCCAGACTACACCCTCTGGAGTGTGATTACAGCTCTGCAGCCTAAATATGCCAATAAGCTGCGCAGGGTGTGAAATGATGCTGAGGAGGAGGATTCCCAGCTTTCCTGAACGCCTCCTTCCACTGACGCAGTGATCCCTCGCATCGCTCTGGATGAGTGGATGTGGATGTAGCAGCGCCGTCACAGGTTTAGGGCTGGATGGAGCGTAGAGAGGAGGCGGCGGCGGTGGTGGTGGTGGTGGTGGCGGCGGGCTGGGAAGGGCATCGTGTTTTGAGCTCCGACCTGCCAGCCACAAGCATCGGTGTGTTTACATAGGCCAAATCCCATAGCTGTGCGTTCCTTTAAGCCCAGGGCCTGGGAAAGTTTGTGGAAAGAGCATTGAGGTCCACTGTGGTGGAAAGGGCATTGTCTGGCCTGTTGATCCCGACTGCACCGGACAGAGAGAGGGGGATCAGTCCCCCGGAGAGGAGGTCAGGGGTGGGATGAGGGGTGTTGGGCAAAGGGCGGGGTACGTGGGCACAGCGGTATGCCCATCATTGTCCCCAAGTGAGCAAGTGAGCTGATTGGCGGCCCGATAAGAGATCAGCGGTGGTCTGATTCTGTCTGGCTCTGTCTATACCAATAAATATGCAGGCAGGCATGCATATGGGCTCACACACACAGATACAGGTGTGTATGTGTCCTGACAAACCCAAATCCTGTTTCTCTGGTGCTATTTCAGACCCTGATTGTTGTGTGTTGTTTATACAGCTGTTTATGATGCGTCTGCTTCTGGTCAATGTGACGTTTGACTCCACTTGGAGCTAATAAAGTCACAGAAGGCTGCCACTGTTGTGGTGGCAGGCGACTGAGCTGGCAGGGCCTGAGACCTTCTACTCTATTTCCCAGCATTCCTTTCCCCTATAAAAGATAACAAGCGATTGGGCGGCGGGAGTCTCTCGGGAAGCGAAAGGCCCGGAGTGCAAAAACAGGATGGGAATTGGCTTTGGGAGAATGTTTTGATCGTGACGAGCAGAAACGGCAGGCGTTGGCAGCAGCTAAGCTAAGGCCAAAGTGCAAGGCATGATGGGAATTTAGGGCCATTGCCAAGGTTTCCTGAGAACAAAGCTGCTGGCGAGGGAGAGCAGTAAAGATAAGGCTCGAAGTTCAGAGTCACGTGTGTTTGTTTGTGTGTTTAGAAATGCTTTGTCCTGTGTTGGTGTCTGCTGTTCGTGTACCGACGGGCCTGAAGTGGAGCTCACTTCCTTATGACCCATCCTCTCCTTCCCGCTTCACGTCTGAAGGACGGAAATGGCAGAGGAAAAGGGGAATTCCGTGTTCTTTGGATCGGAATGATTTAGGAGTAAGAGCAGGCGTCGGCGAGCCATAAATACTCTGTTTTCAGGATGTAGCTAACAAGATCAAAGTTTTTTTAACCACCTCGACACCACTTATAGCACATTTTTCTCTGTGGATGACACAAAGCATGTCTGAGGTGAACACACTCATGATGAGTTTCACAGATGCTTGTTGGGATGCCTCCTTATTTTAAAAACAGTTGATTTCTAATGCATTTTGACTGACCATCATCTTCTGCTCTGTGCACTAGGTGGGGCGAGGAGAGGAACTTTGATGGAACATCCAAAAAATATTGGGTACGTTCTTTATTCACTATACAAATCAAACTTTTCTTTTCCAGCTACTGACTAAAAAATGCTGCGACATTTTGATATAAGTACAATATCTGGAGCCCAAATTGGCTCCCTACTCACTACATTTGCACCTTTTATATTATAATAAAACTACATTTTACTTTAGATTATTTTTAGTTTTATTTCTGTGTCTCATCTGTGGTGACTGTGACGGTCATTTACAATCTGTTTAACATGTTTTATTTCCAGACTGCTGCCAACTCCTGGGGAAAGAACTGGGGAGAGAACGGCTACTTCCGTATCGCTCGCGGGGACAATGAGTGTGAGATTGAAGCTTTTGTGATCGGCGTCTGGGGCAGAATCACAATGGAGGACATGCACAACCACCATCACCACCATCGTCGCCGACACATTTAAAGACGTTGCAGATGTTAAAAATCCACCAAGACTCAACTGTAGTTGGGTTTTGTTTTTTTTTAATACAGAAGAGAACCAGACCAAGACTCTCAGTACTTCATCACATCTCCTTTACCAACCAAGCTGGCTGGGATGGCCACAAAACAACCCCAGAACTCTTACTTTCTACACTTTCCTCTGGGGATCAATACAACCCCTCTTCTCCACCCTCTCTACCCTTGTAACAGAAAAACCTCTCCCCGTTTCCCCTGTAACTCCAGGTTTATGGCACCAAAAACAAACAAAAGCTAAGCTACAGTTACTTCGACACCTCAGGTACCTACTGTTCCAAAGACCACACATCCCAGAATCCTCAGAATAATATCTGGTGAAACATGTTCATGTCAACGATGGGTGGACGACAGAAGGAGAAGCTCAATCTGATCCTTTTTTTTTTACTCTTTCATGCGTCAGGCTGGATCTTTAGTCCTTTCAAGCTCTAATTCTATAATCCAGACAGACCCAATATCTGAGGGACAGCTTGGAAAAGAGGAAATCTGAGAGTCAGATTATCAGAAATGAGACCCTTTTAGAAAGACACACCCTGCTGAACGGTGTAACCCGATAATATGTCATCGATGACCTTACTGACATTTACCTGTCAGCTATACTGAAGCAGAGTTCGACTCATTCTTTCGCTTTTAGAGAGGGCACTTGTGAAGAATTAGTAGCTGCAGGCAGTAGATTTTCTCACACATTCCATTAAAAACATAGAATCTGACACTGGAAACACAAGATTTGGTTGATGGTGTAGGATTACATCAGTTAAAATGGCTCCTAATGCTATTAGATCTTTTAAGAAACTATAATTCAATAATGAAAAAAACCAAAATGGTAGCCCTCCTTCCACATGTTTGTACTGAACAAACTCAGATATTATTAATTTATCATTTATTCTTGGCTGCAGGTACAAAAAAAAAAAGTTATGCTACATATAGACCAATGATATGAATAAAAGCCTCGCAGCTCCCCACAAACAGTGACGTGTGACGAAGTTTTAAAGATTGTAATGCCTTAAAGGAACAGAGTTGCTCTGACCACTGCAAAAGAAAAGTAGAACGTATGTATAGTAGTCTTAACTTACTCTGTTCTGTGTACACTGTTACAATTTGAGCTAAAGATGTTATTTTTTTTGTTGCAGTTATATATTAAAGTTTTATTTTACTACTTGTTCTAAGACGTACTGTATGTAGTAACTTTCATAACACACTCATCACTCTGTTGCTTTTCTGCTTTTACGTTAGCTGTAAGTGTGTGACCACAGCGAGGAGGACGAGGGGGGGGCAAACTGCTGCTAAAATCCAGTCTGTGCTACACTATTTGTCTTTAGTCGCATGCATCTGATGTGTAATAAACATGTAAAGTCACTTCTAACACTGAAACACAGATTCGTGTCACACAGGACGCAGATGAGCTTTGTTTTTTTATTGCTGGAAATTTAACATGTTCCTCCAACCCTGATTCTATCTGCTTTGAAATAGCTTTAATTTCATTTTTTTGAGCATAGCTTCACTTGAAAAGGAAAGCCCAGTGTGTTATTACCGCATACCTTACATTACATTTAACTTCAAAAGGCTTTTCCGTTTCTATATCATCATGTCTTGTGATCTTTAAGGTTTTTCCATCGCTTCCCTCAGGCATGGATGGGCAGATAGGTATAAAAGCAAAGAGGAATGTCTGGACAGACGAGCAATGTGCACCGTTGTGGAGCGGCTCCAGCGGTTTCTCATGCAATGTACTGAATCTTTTATTGTGAAGTAAGCGAAGGCAGGGAAGGATCACGAGTAGTCCATCGACATGAGATGCACAAAAGGTTTACAGTAAATAACAACACACCAGGAACAATGTGAAACTGAGCTCCTTGTCCTGAAGAGACAGTGGTTATGTCAGTCATCTGGATCAGAACGATTTTTCTATTTTCATCTGTGAACAAGTTGCTACAGCTCCTTTACCCAGAGAGGAAAAGATCAATGGACAAAACTTGTATTTGGTTTGCATAGCTGTGTTGCAGTTCTCACTCAAGGCAAAGCAGAAAGAAGCAGAAGGATTTGACCAAAGCGGATTTTTTTTTCTCCCCTGTTTATCAGAGACCTCTTATTTTGAAAGCACATGTTTTCCTGCCATATGGTCACTTGGATTCATGGTTAGCTTTGACTAAAATGCAATAGATAACATTAAGTATATAGAAAATGTAAAAATCCTCTTTAAGTTTCTCAAGGAGACGTCCAAGAACAACACATGTGCCACATTCGTTTAAATAGAGGTTCACATGGGACGAGTCTGTTGCTAAAGATTCTCAGCGAAAACTTAAAATCTGTTCCATAGAAAATGAGCTTTAACCAAAAAAGTTTTCTCCACCTCCACAATCTCTCCTCCAGAAGCCTCCCAGGAGCTGCAGCACACACCCACTCAGAAGTTGTGTATTTAGTGTAAAATGAACCACTTCATATTCATTGATGTGTAGACTTTATTTATGACAAGATGTGTAAATTATATACTTTTATTCTCCTTTCGTTTTCCTGTGCAATGTTTCATTATCTCTCTGTCTCTTGTACTGTGCGCACTAAATGCAATACCACATTAGTGTCCACTTACACAATAAAGTCTTTCCAAAACCACACTCATGTCACCTGAAATCTTACAGACTGTGTCGTTAAAATAGATGCATTTCAACACTGGGGAGGGGAGATCAAGAAGAGAAATTCCTGCATTTTTTTCCCTTTTGTGCATGTGAGCTGGCAGTGAAAGTAATCAGTGAGCAGCAATGGGAGGTAGTGGAGGGGGGTTGTTCAGGATGGAGCTCCACAGGACGTGGCCGGGTGGGATGAGGACAGTTTTTATAAGGTCCTGCTGTGTCAGCGTGCTCTTCCATCAATGAGAGCAATAACTCTGGCCATCAGTCAGTGGAAGACCAGGGCAACGAGTCTGCATAATGTGAATACACGCAAATCGGGACGAAAGTTTGACCCTGAATCATGTTGTGTCTAACTTACCTCAAGATAAAGAAACTCTTCACACGTCTAATTCTTTGGAGGAGTTTCTAACAGATTCCCACACACTGTCTAAGTTGAAAAAATACATTTATTTGCATTGCTTTGGGGCGAGACCGTCATCAAGCTAGTCAAGATCTTCAGCCCTCTTGCAGTTAAGGTTGACAGCTTTAAAAACATCGAGGCACTGAATTATAAGTGACTTCTGGGATGCAGAAGAAGTGGAAAATAATTACAGTTTTCATTACAAACTGATCAAAGAATGTCATTTTTCTTACTAAATGTTTTTATTGAGTGTGTGCTATTTCATCAGTGTTCACTCTAATTTGTCCGTATGTAAGTCAGTGATTTATTACTTTTAACATGTTTTGATATGTAAAATAAAATAAACAAAACAATTAACTCACAAATTCACAGACAAATACGTGTGGCAGCTGCACCTCAAGTGGCTCTTGTTTGTTCCAGAGAAATTCCTCCCGTATCTGTGTTTCCCTTTCGGCTAATCCTCTCTTAAAATATGATAAAATTAAGACTCCAGAGATGACACGAGGTAGACTTTGTGGTCAGTAAGTCATAAACAAAAAAGAAAAACACCAAGGCACTCCCTTGCCCTAATCAAGACTGTGGGTTGGAACTTGTAGCTGCTGAGCCCATTTATGGTTAGTTTTTAATTTTTGCAAAGCGGTCTGTGTCGGTATTTTGAGGCTATGACTTATTAACGGTGATGAAGGTAGAAGTCTGTCTCTTCTTGAAGCCTTCACCTGCTTTTGATACCTGCATCTGTGAAGCAGCACCCCTCAGTCAACTCATTAAATTGAATATTTACTTTATTTAAAAAAAAGGATATGTCTCACTTTTAGGACAACACTTTGACACATGCACTTTCCTCCAGTTCCTTCTCCTTCGTTCTGCTGTGTGTATGTTTGTGTTTTGCATGCCTGCACCTCCATGTCCCACATAAACACCTGGAAGAAAATCTGTGACGGTGTTCCAGCCCGGAGAGGAGACAGGCTTTGGTTTGAAGTGAGAGAAACAGCAGGCCTGAAAAATTGGTGGGAATTGTCACATATATCAGACGCTTCTGTCAGCGAGAACTACCAGGTGTTCTCAGTTGGGGCAACAAATGAGCAGAGCCGGGGTAGTCGACACAAACAAGGGGCGACTTTGCATTCCTGCATCCAATCGCTGACCTGTGAAACTATTTATTGAGCGAGTTCCTGCACTTTAAATATGCAACAGCTTTGCATTGATTGGCTTCTGTTAAGATACAGGAGCAGTTTTAAAAGAAAATGTATCTCTTGTTGAAGCTCACAGGTTTAAAAAAGTCTTATTTTCGCCCTGTTTCACAGAATGCACCCTGCTTACTGTGTTGAAAATGACTGGATGTGTTAAATGCTGACTGTTTTATGTGCAGATAAATGAATAATAATGCCATCATCATCCTTTGCTCTCTCAGTTTTACAACCGTGCTGCTACAAAACATCCCTTAGTTCTGTTGTGAAAAGATATTTCTGATGATTTAGTGAAAATAAGTTGAATTAAAATGCGAGTCACACTACAGACGATGTCGACTTGACCTCAGTGAAAGCTTTCGAGCGGGTTACGGAGGAATCTGGAGAAAAGCACACAATATTAGAGAGCTTATCTCTTTACAGCAGCCACAGGGACCAAGTATGGAAACTTGGATCAAGGGATCCGTCCGCCGACTGTTTACATTTCTCTCATTGTTTCTGCGTCACCGAGTAGCCAAAGCATTCATTACCTCAGCAGCTACTGCTCCTTTTCCTCCCAGCTGATGGCGAGGGATGGACAAGTATCAAGCTAAAAAAAGGAGGAAGCAGTCATTAAAGACAGCGGCAGTGAAACAATCGGTGGCTGGAGACCCCACCCGGGTTCCCCCTCCGGTCCAGGAACATGATGGAACATGATCTTCTTCTCTGGTTCTGCTTCACACTCACGCAAACACAAACAGCCACTTTTCCATGTGGAGTCTCTCCTTGAGCACACTCAGGAGACGTCAACAAAAATGTTATGGAGGATCAGGCTGGTTGCTAGAGGCACAGCTCTTTCCCATAAACAGCAAGCCAATAAAGAACATACATTTTACTGGTAGTCTGGGGGGAGATCCTTGTCAGAAACACTGAGGCAGAGCAGAATCAGAGGGCTTCAGGGGGAAACCTGAGACTAACAGTAGTAGTATTTTGCTTTGATGTATTAATCTCTGCTGAGTGGACTAATATCTCCACATTACATACCTTTCTGCTATATATCTGGCCTGTTAATATAAAGTATTTCCTGAGGGGACGCTTGGTTTCAGTTGTCTATGATGCTGAATTTGCTCCAGTGATGGAAAGTAACTGAATAGATATTTACACCTGTACTGTAATTAAGTACAAATTCAAAGTACTTGTACTTTACTGATGCTACATTATGCTTCCACTACAATACAGGACATTTCAAAGGAAAATGTTGTATTTTCTGCTCCACTACATTTACGTGAGAGGATTTTACACAACGGATAATACAATTGTACATATTATTCAAAATGAAACCAGGGATTTACAACCATTTTGGCCTCTAACATGGAACAAAACGCAATGTGTAGTCAGAGTCACATCTGTGATCTGTAAATAGCTTCATCAAATAGTGATATCTTCCCCTCTAAACTTCTCACATGGTTTAATCTCAATGAACATTAAGTGATCCAATATCTCACCCAAAAAAATTGAAAATCATAAAAAGTTGACGAATTGATAACAGATTTGTGTATCAGAACTTTTTCTTCTTTCCTCTGCTGTTAATCATCAGATTTATTTGATGTTCCTGTGTTTAAAACTTTATATAAAGTCGCTCAAAGCAGTTCAAACCGGCAGCAGCTGCAACAGTAACGTGCTGCTGACACACTGATGCTTTTATATTAGTAATCTAATGATGATATCAGTCAGAAGGACTAAACCTGCACTTTAATGTTGCAGTTCACTGCTTATTTCACACTTATTGCTTTCAACGTTTGTAAGTTTCATGGAGAACTTTGACTTGCAGTGGAGTATTATTACGTTGTTGTGTTGGTACTTTAACTCAAGGATGTTAATACTTCTTTCACCACTGATTTGGAAAGTTAAAGGATCATCGCTACAGATAAATGCTGAACAACCTGACATTTAATGTGTAATACATCGTCCACATCCCACCTGACATCTCCTCAAATGCTCTCCTTCAGTGTTGTGTTTCAGTGCTGCCATCTTCTGGAGGACTTTTAGTGCAAAAGGCCCAAAAATGTCACGAGCACCGAGGACCAGTTTTATTGAATGCTCCAAATTAAAAATCTTGAAGAATCTCATTTAAAAAAAGTGAAATGATACTAATGTTGCCATACAATGATTAGACACAGACCGGTTTTATTAATTCAATTTTCATCTGTGCCATTATCACGACTTTTCTTAAAATAAAAATCCCTGACGCAGTGACTAAAAATCACGTTCAGCAGACCGTCAGGGAGCTCCAGTGTCGGCACCAGACGTCATCTCTTCAGTAGATCAGTCAAGACTGCCTTCATGTGTTCTGCTTTTCTTCTAAGTGGCAGAGTCGTCCTTTCCTCTTTAACCAGCCGTCTGTCTCCCTCTAGCGTGGACCAGTTCCTCTCCTGCATTCACACATTCTGTAGGCGCATATGTAGAAAATACCTGCAGACAGAAAGCACGGTTTGGTCGTATATAATATTAGAGATAAGAAAAATACATAAACTACTTTAACAATCTAGATTTAGAGACTGCTGTGTTTGGATGTAGCACTGTAAAAAAATAAAATAAAAAAAATCCTGTAAAAAAATAACAAAATTAAATCTGGCAGCAAGAGTCCCAGAAAATATATGTTAAAAAAAATGGTGAAATGCTGTAACATTCGAAAACTGGACAATGGTTAAACAAACAAAAAAACAAACAAACATCAAATATTTGTAAAATAATCATGTTTTAGTGAACTTATATACATTCAAACAGTATAATTTTATAGCCACACACTGTAAAGAACCAATTGCTATGAGCTAAATTAAAGAACAACACAGCCTTTTGACATTATTATCAGTTTTTGCCTTTTTTATGAACAGTTAAACATTTATATTTATACTTTTTTTCCCCCTGTGATTTTACTAGATATCATCTGTAGTTTTACAAAATTGGAAAAATGTGCAAAATAATTTTAAACAACTATTTACTTTATTTTATGTTCTGGGTTTTTTTTTTTGTTAAAACAATTTTCCAGTTCTTAATATATGTATTTCTGTCCTTCAAATAAAAGCAAATATATATTGCTAATTTAAAAACATTAGAAAGTCTGTAAGTTTATGATCAGATGTTGCAAAAGAATAAATGACCATTTGTTAAAATAATCATTTTTGACATAGATAATATTTAAAGTTTTGCCTTTTTCAGTCGGTTTTGTTTGTTTGTTTGTTTGTTTTTGTTTTTACATGTGAATTGCTACTTTTTTTCTGTGATTTTGCTGATTAGAATTTGTAATTTTTTTTTTTTTAAAGGGAAAAGGTGTAAATTGTTCAAAAATTACAATTACAAACTTGTGTTTGTTTTACAACGATGCTGTATTGTTGTAGAATCAAATTTTTACACAAATT